CCTTGGGGTCCAGCTCTGCCTCCTGCTCCCAGCCCACTGGAGCTAGAAGCATTTCTTCACTCAGACAGCTGCTGGCTGCTGAGGCTGAGAAGCCCAACGCTGACAAGTGAAAAGGCACAGTCCCGTTGTTACCAAATCACATGGCAGGCCATTAACTTAAGTCCACTGTAAGTCGCAAGATCAGCAGAGCATGGCAGGCTGCTGAATAATGACATGGCTACATGCAGGGTCCAAGTGTGGCATAAGCTAGAGACCATTCCCCAAGGCTTCTCCTTATATACAGGAAGCAGACCACATTCACAGTAGATTCTGTTGATTACCAATGTCATCATGCGGAATACTACATCCAGCTGCCCAAGCACTCAACCAGGCCTAGTCAAGTTGACACAAAAACATAACCACCACAAGTGGCATCTCCGAAGCTCCTTCCTGATTTCTCCTTGCCTCTATACCTACCCTCTTCCCCAAAGGCAACCTTTATCCTGATTTCTAACATCACAGATTACTTTTGCCTGTTTTTGAACTTTATATAAATGGAATACTAACTCACTGCCATCGAGTCAGTTCCTATTCATAGTTGGTTCCAACTTATAGCAACCCCTCCTTGGGTTTCTGTGGCAGCATCTTTATGGAAGTAGATTGCCCAGTCTTCCTTCTGAGGAGTGGCTGGTGAGTTTGAACCACCAGCCTTCTGGTTAGCAGTCAAATGCCATAGGCATTATACCACCAGAGCTCCCACTCAAGAGGAGGAAGATATACCCTTGGCTGAGAGCACCATAGCTACCATGAAGCTGTGGCCTTACTAAAGAAAACAAAGTTTATATAAAACTTATATTTAAATATTAATATTACAACCATAAACATTTGACACTGTAATATATAAAACCTAACTCACTGCCATCGAGTAGATTCTGACTCATAATGACCTCTTTTGGGTTTCCGAAGTGATAAATCTTTACAGAAGTAGGTTGCCTCATTTTCTTTCCATGGAGCATGGGTTTGAACAGCTAACCTTTTGGTTAGCAGTCAAATGCCTTAGGCACCATTCCACCAGAGCTTCTTTTACTGTAATATATAGATCACTAATATATCAATAGGAGCTCTGGTGGTGTAGTGCCTAAGGCACTTGACTGCTAACCAGAAGGCTAGTGGTTCAAACCCACCAGCCACTCTTCGGAAGGAAGGTTGGGCAATCTACTTCTGTAGTGATACTGCCCCAGAAACCCAAGGAGGGGTCACTACGGGTCAGGCCTGACTCAATGGCATATAACAACAGGGTATGTATATGTTCAGTTTAGTAATTATCCAGGTTTTCCACTTTGCACTCCCATTACCAGTATATGAGAGTTCCAGTTGCTCTACACCTTCACCAGCACTTGGCATGGTCACTCTTTTTATTTTTAGCCATTCTGGTAGGTGTCTAGCAATATGCTATTGTGGCTTTAGTCAGCCTTTAGAAAAACGATAATGGCTATTTGTATACTCTCTTTTGTGAAGTGCTTATTCAAATATTTTGCAACTTTTCTATTAGATTAGCTGTCTTTTTCTAACTGATTTATGTTGTTGTTGTTGTCGTTGTGTGCCGTCAAGTCGGCCCCGACTCATAG